AGACTGCACATCTTAGGTATCTCTCTGAGCCACCCAAACTCATTGAGAAATGGAAACAACAGTAAAGGATATCTGCTGGGGGCTCATCCAGGGTTACTTACCTTTCGGATGTCTTTGGTTTTGCAGAAGGCTGGTAAAGATGGAAACCCCACCAGGTAGCATAGGAATAGAAGGAGCAACCCCAAGCTGCACAGGATGGTGAGGTTGGGGTCAATATCCAAGGATGTTGAGCCAAAGCTCAGACATGGGTCCGTAGGGCTGTTCAAAAATGAGAGAACATTCCATTTTCTGAATTCCATTGTCTGAATCGCAAGGCTGCCTGAAGTTACTGAGCACTGAGAGTGCAGGCGCTTGACTATAGATCAGTGCATCACAGAACACTGAAGAGTCACAAAGGTTTCTGAGGGCAGGGCGGGGGAGGGGACAACATGAAGTAGCGTGCTCACAGCCCCTCCCCCACCCACCAGCCCAGCAGACCCCTCCACCCATCCTGGGCCCTCTAGGTCCCTCTGCCCTACCCTGCCATCCTGTTTTCCGACTCCACCCTTTCTTTCATTGTTTCATATATTTACTTTAATGAAAATTTCTGCTAGTTCCATCTGTAACCTAGATGTTACCTGGGTCCCCTTTTACTGTTTGGAGAACTTGACCTTGAGTCTCACCAGTTCCACTGCCCTGAAAGTCTAAAATACAGTCTGGGATTTTCACTTGTGGCCAGACATTCACACTCAGGATTATATACATCCTGAAATCCATCTTTCCTATAGAATATTTTTCCTACATGAACCCAGATATAGAACTTAAACTTCTTTCACTCTTAGTTTTGTGAATGTTGAATAACAAATTTTGCTTTTTGTTTCAGTCTGCCTTTACCATCTTCAGCCAGAGGGGCTGACTCAAATAATTAAAATGAGTAATTCATTATTCAACATTCACTAAACTAAAATCACTATAAAATCAATGTAAATAATTAAACCTTCAAATAATCTTGTGGATAAGTCTGAGGCACTAATTTTTCTGAAATGAATGAAGCTTAAACTGCATAAAGACTTTCAGGACATCCTAGAGAGAGAGAGAGACACACACACACACACACATGCCTGCCCTTTGACAAACCAAGCTGATATTTTCAAATCTAAGAATAAAGTGTTTTCTCATTTTTCTTCAGTCTCTCATTTTTTATTTTGACTCCAATTCTCACTCTGCCTAAAACACAGACAGTCCCTGCACTCTTCATCAATATTCTAACAGGTGTACAAATCCCTGCCCTAGTCAGTTTGGGTTGCTGTAACAAAATACCATGGCTGGGTCACTTAAACAACAAATGCTTACTTCTCATAGTTCTGGAGGGTAGGAAGTCCAGGATGAAAGCACAGCAGATTCTGTGTCTGGTGAGTCCAACTTCCTGGTTCACATACAGCTATCTTCTCCCTGCAACCTCACATGGCAAAAAAAGAGAGTAAGGGAGCTCTGTGAGGTCTCTTATAAAGGCACTAATTCCATTCATGAAGGCTCCACTGCCATGACCTAGTCACCTCCCAAAGGCCCCATCTCCTAATATCATCATATTGGGATTAGGGTTTCAACATGTGAATTCGGTGGGGACACAATGTCCATAACAGTCCCCAAAGGCTGGGATAGGTTCCATTGAGCTAAGTCTCTGGTGGCAGGGTGGGACCTGGGAGTGTCAAAGCCGTAGGGTGGAATCTAGCCTTACCTGATTATCCTTGTAGGCCCTATAAATATAATCTTTTCCTCAGAGTGCCCTACCACAAAAAAAAGCTCTGCTGTATATAATCATCCCCACATGTGTTCAAAAATCAGCTACCTGTCACATGTTTTTCAGGCTCCACTTGTCAGGTTTAAATAATCCCAGTATTTCCCTCCCCTCTTCCTACATCTTCCTTTCTAAACCCTTTATCCTCATGACAGCCATCCCCTGAACTGTCTCCTAATGCCTCATGTCTTTCTTATACTGTGATGCCGTTTATTTGACACCCATGGCCTAGCACAGTTACTTGATCTCCTGTGAAAGCATAAGACAACCTTCAAGCCCGCAGAGTCTTCTTTCAATTATGCAGGCACAGGTAACCTGCCCTGAGGATAAAATCTGCCGAGAGGCACCACTTCCTTCCTGCCTTGATCTGCAGCCTCAGCTGAGTTTTCATTTAATAAATATGTACTGCTGGAAACTAGGAGACACAAGTACCTGTAAGTGGCAGTCTCTGTCCTGAAGGACCTCATGGTGCAGTTTTAGGGAACAGCCCTACCAGGTCAAGAGTTACATAACCACACAGGAGAGGGCCCACGGCATTTGTGAATTGCCAGTTGATCTCTGGAATAGATCAGAGAAGGGACAGATGCTGTGGGTGACAACTGCTCAAACATATTATGCAACTTGGGAAGGCATCCCTGCATGCCTACCCTCTCCAATTTTCTGATACAAATTAATGATTCTTTGAGAAGATGGTTAAAGAGCAGCTTTTCTCTTTTAAAAGGGCATGTGTTGGCTAGATATCCTTACATACATTTGTGTGTCTTGCGTTGAAAACCTACATGAAGTTTCAATAAAAAGGCTTTTCCCCAAATGTTAATAAGATTCCTTTTCAGAAACTTGTAGAAGCGTCTTCAGAATTTGAAAAAACAAGATACTAAGTATACAAGTTTTTTTGGCTTTTGTTTTTTTCCTTTTGTACCACCACAAATAAACTCCACTGATGTTCAGCAGGAGAGGCTCATAGCACTTATCCTTCTCAAATTAACATCAACTATAAACTATAAATTTATTTGTCTCTTTATAAAGCATATTGCTCTTAGTGATTTCAGTGATTACCAACATCCTGTAATGTAAATAGGACAACAGGTGTCATTGTGCCCATTTATCAGTGAGTAAAACTGAGGCCCAGAAAGCGGAAGCGACTTCCCTAGGTCATTCAGCAAACGAGTCGTAGAGCCCTGACTTCTAAATTCCCTATATTCTCAAGGCTTCTCTTTCAAACAACATAAATGACTTCTTAAAATTAAAAGTATGCCCTGGTTCTAAAATTAAATCAGTTATATGACTAAGAATATTCATGTTGTCCATTAAATGCTGCCAAATTTGAAAAGTAAAGAAAAGCGATTTTTGGCATGCTATCACCTCTTCGATAACTTTTCCTTTTCATTCTTAGCACTAGTGTCTTGACAGGTTTTCTCTATTGCCCTCTTACAACCTGCTTTCAAGAACATTACATATGACTCTCACTCAGGTATAAGTGAATAATAAAAGTTGAAAATGTCATCCCTCCCAGGAACCCATTTCACACATTTTACATACATCTAACCCTTAAGCCTTGTGATAAAGCTCTCACTAGAGCATTTCCGGCAGCCATCCGGAGGTGGCAGTGGTAGCTTTTAGGAGCGTGAGATCTTCTCACCGCCACCACACAGAAGCCTGGTCCCGGATTTCAGGCTGCACTGAGTTACATTATCCCCAAGGAGGAGTATTTTCCAACAGCTCCACTAGGATAATATTAGCGACTCAGTGGAGATAAGTCATTAGTTTAGGATTCTCATATGTCCTCAGTGCTCTCTCATTCACATCCTGGCCACTGTCCCAGAAATAAGCCACATGGAGGTAGCTATTTTTAAGGTATCAAAAAGCCTGAAGTAAAATGGATTCTTAGGGCAAAATCTTTTCAAACTGCATTTAAAACAGTAGCTGTAAGACGTTCTTCATTCACACACCACACTTTTACTGAACTCTGTTGTATAGTATTTCTAATAGAAATATCAAGAAAGTAAGGCACTGCCTTCACCCTCAGGCAGTTCATAGTTCGGTAGGTGAGACCTGGAAACAACTAAAATAGACATAAACTGTAAAAAAAAAAAGTAGGAATAAGAAGACAATGAAAATATAGATAAAGGAGCAATTAATTCTTCTGCCAGGAGGGAGATTAGAGAGGGACAAGGAAAGCTTCAAAGTTGTTCTCCTCCTCCTCTCTCTTCTCCCCTTGACACTCTTTCTCTTCCTCTTCCCCTTTCTCCTCCTCCTCCTTTTCTTCTTTCTTTAGACTTTGTTTTTTAGACCAGTTTAAGGTTCACAGTAAAACTGAGGAGAAAGCACAGAGTTTCCATAAGTCATCTGACCTCCTCTAACACCCCTACACACAAACACACACACAGACACATACAGACAGACACACACACACACACACACACACACACACACACTTACCCCACTATCAATATCCAGCACCACGGAGGGACATTTGTTACAATCAAACTTACACTGACACACCGTTACCACCCAGAGATCATAGTTTACATGGGTTGAGACAAGTGTATAATGGCATGTATCCACCATTACAGTATCATATAGAGTAGTTTCGCTGCCCTAAAAATCCTCTGTGCTCTGACTATTCACCCCATCCTCCTCCAAACCCAATCATTTCGCAACCACCATTTTTTTTTTACTGTGTCCAGAGTTTTGCCTTTTCCAGAATGTCATATAGTTGAAATCATGCAGTGTAGCCTTTTCAGACTGGCTTCTTTCACTTAGTAATATGCATTTAAGGTTCCTGCATGTATTTTTCTGGCTTAATAGTTCATTTCTTTTTAGCTAAACACTATTCCATTGCCTGGAATGTATGTACCACAGGTGATTTATCCATTCACCTTCGACATAGTTGTTGCTTCCCAGTTTGGGCACCTATGAATAAAGGTCCTATGAATTCTTTTCTTTTTAAACCACATTACTGAGACATAATTCACATACCATACAATTCACCCATTAAAAGCATACAATTCGATGGTTTTTAGTATATTCACAATGTTGTGCATCCAGCACTACAGTAAGGTTTAGAACATTTTCATCACTCTGAAAAAGAAACTCTGTTCCCCTTAGCCTTCACCCTTCAATCTCATTCTCTTCAGCCCTAGGTTACCACTAATCTACTTCCTCTACATATTTGTCAATTCTGGACATTCATGTAAATGGAATTATACAATATGTGGCCTTTCACATCTGGATTCTTTCACTTAGCATAATGTTTTCAAGGTTTGCCTATATTGTAATATGTATCACTACTTCATTTCTTTTTATGGTAAATAATATTCCATTGTAGGGATATGCCACATTTGGCTTATATATTGATCAGTTGATGAACATTTGGGTTGTTTCCACTTATGGCTATTATGAATAAAGCTGCTAAAACATGTGTGTACACATTTTGGTGTGGACATAACTTATCATTCCTTGCTTATTCATTTTTACATTAACTTAAAAGTCACACTTTGTCTAAGCTTGTTGTTTTCTGAGATTGTGGTAATATAACCATATCAGATTCCCTATGAAATGAGATCTTTAGTGTCTAAATGTAGTTTTTAATCAAATGTCTCGGTGCATCAATTTGCCCTCCTGCCAACACTCTCAAAATTAGGCTTTGAATCAGCAGGAATGATGGTGATGTATAATGCTTAACATTTAAAAGTAATGAACACCTTATGTTCTCAAGAATTCTTAGAAAATCAGAAAAGGGTGTGGGAAGAGGAAGTGCAATCCAGCCAAAGTGAATGAACATGAGCAAACCTATAACGTATGTAAAAGTGCATGTCTGGTCACACTAAAGCATCAGGCATGTATGTGTCTGAGGATGACAGGAGAAAAAAATTAGGCTGAAAAAGAAGGAGACTCAACCGTTAAAGATTCTGAATGACAGTTTAAGAAGCTTGAACTTTGTACCAAGGCAATGGGAAGCTAAGGTTTTCATAACCAGAAGAAAGGCATGCCCAGATCTGTTTTGGAAAGATGACTGGCAAGCAAAAGAGAGCTCAGAGGGGAAAATACAAATTAGTCACTGAATCATATAAACTCTTCCTCTTGCAGATGATAGAAAACCTGATGAATTCTAGCTTATGCAAAAAGTTCATTTATTGGCTTCTATTTCTGCACAATACAAGAGTAGATTCAGCTTCTGACTCGCCATCCCTCAGTTCTGCTTTCTCGGTGTTGACTCATTCTCAAGCCAAGACTCTTATAGTCCCAAGATGGTATCCAGCCAGGAAAAACAGAATTGTTGTCCCAGTTTCTCAACTAAAGCCCCAACATTCAAGTGAATGGGACCAGCTCAGGTCGTAAGAACACCCCTGAAATAATTACCGGGAACCAGAGAATGTTACTGGCCTAGTCTAAGTCAGTGCTCCTCAAAGTGTGGTCCGTGGACCAGTGCCTGTTTCCACATTTTTGTTACCATCTGCAACAAGATAAGTATAGAAACAGGATGGTTAGAAACTTTTACTGCAATTTGATGGCATAATTAAATCTAATAATAAAAAAACAAGGCCTATATTTTATATATCATTGTTTGCCACTTCTCCAGCAATTCATTTTTATTATATTTTATACAAGTACCAGTGCACAGTGGATGGGGTTGTGGGAGAGGAAGCAAACTGGTCTTTCACCACAGATAGTTTGAGAAACTGTGGTCTCATGGACATGCTCCACTGTGAAGTCTGGGGATGAGTCAGCATTCTGGAAGCACACAGGGAGACTTCGGGGAGATCCTTCCCTCTTGCCATGAAAGAGGGCAAAAACAAATGTCCACCATAATCATGGGATCTAATTTGGAGAGAGGAAGGACACTCCCAGACTACTTTAGCTCTCTTATTTTCTCATGCTTTTTTCCATGCTGACCTGCTCTTATTCAGAGTATCTAGTAAGAATTTACTCTGCATAAGCTTTGGATATGGCCATTTTAATAGGCTAAACATTACATGAGCATTCACCTACCCTGCCCATTGGAACTTTTACTACTAGAATCAAAGCATTCGAATGGCTCTCTTAAGCCATTAAGACAAAAACAACTTTGAGCTAGACTAACACAAGGTAATTACTAAGCTGAGCCAAATTCCTTTTCCATGCTCTTGGCACAGAGGTATGGAAACTCTAGAGCCCTATAAGAGGTCTGAAGGAACAAAAAAATGTTTAAGACAAATTTCAGGGATCTACGTTTCTCATTAAAAATGCATTTTAGAAAATTGTTTTAAGTTAACTTGCTAGGGCAGTTGCATGGCAAGGAAACGTGTGCAGCAATTTGGCAAACAGCAGCTTTCATCTTTCTTTTAAAATAAAATGGAAACAATAAAAACACAATTAAAAATAAAATTTAAAAAACATAATCTGAAAGAGTATTCTGATTCTTTTTCTAATTAAAGCTATGCAATTAAAGTTTTGCTGGAGAGGAACCTGTGTTTTTAATCTCACTGTCCACCAAGGGCTAATATACGCACAGGCTTTGAGATGTCTGCTAATGCTCAGAGCTGGGACCTTGGAGAGCCTTTGAGTCTGGCTTTCTCATTCATTTGACAAATTGGAAACTGAAGCCAGGGCAAGTTTATTTCTTTTTTCCTTAATCCTTTCTTTCATGCGTATGTTTGTATGTGTGTGTCTTCTCTCAGAAGGCTTGGAAACTTGGTGTCTGCACATAATTTAGACACTCAATATGGGACTTCTTTTCAGTATGAAGGCAAGGACTCAACTAACACCAAATTTAATCCACTACTACCTCGAAATCTGCCATTTTTGCCTATGTGAACTTCACAAACAACTGAGATAGTAATGCTTTTCTGTGAAAACCGAATGGACTTATATGTCTTCATGCCTTCTGCAATAAAATAAGCTGAATGTAACTCTAATATCCCTTGATGACCCCAGCTTAGTCTAATAACCAGCTGTGGTACTGCAGAGGAGCAGGTGTAGGCGGTCTGGGACACAGACACAAATGTGCACTGACTCCAGCCATGCCCCCTAAGACCTGCTATCATTAAAAAGATCCATCACCTGTATTTAGGAGTTTACTTCTTTTTCCTATAAATACAAAAATTGTTTATCAACTACATAGACACAGTGCAAAACTGACCCATGACAGAACTGCCTTCAGCAGGTCACAGGGCTACCCTAAAGAGTTAATGTAGTTTGGATCACCTTTATCCCCTCGAGGGGTGAGGGAACCACAGGGAAGAAATGGAATAGAGCTAAGATTTGGTGGGTACTTAATTTGTGCGCCAAACTTTCACTCATTTCATTTCTTAATCTGTGAGAGAAGAAATCTTTCTCTTATTTCACAGATAAAAAGACTGAGCCCCAGAAAGATTAAATAACTTGCCCAAGGCCACTAGAGCTAAAAAATGACACAGTAAGGATTTGAAACAAGCTTGCTTTGGTCCCAGGCGTGCATCTTCAGTCTACCCAATGCTGTCTCAGAGAGTAGAATCCCTGCATCTTGATCCCTGACTCTTCATTATCACACCAACAGCTATATTTTGCAGTATAACAAACCTCCCCCAAAACCTAGTGGCTTAAAGTAATTAACATTGTTTGCTCATAATTCTGCAGTCTGGGCTGGGCTTAGCTGGGTGAGACTCTTCTGCTGATCTTACCAATGGCTACTCATGTGGATTCATCCAGCTGGCAGGTCAGCAGGGACCTGGGCTTGGCTGGGACACTGGGATGGCCAGACTTGTCTCTCAGGGCCTCTCCCTCTTATGTGGCTTTTCCAGTGGCCTTGCCACATAGCTTGAGGAAGCTAACAGAATTCTTATAAGGTAGTTCATGGCTCTGAAGAAAACAAGAGCAGAACTTCTTCAGACTTAGACCAAGAACTGATACCGCATCACTCTGCCACTTCCAGTTAGTTAAAACAGTCCCAGTCCCAGCGCAGGTTCAAAGAGAGAGTGCTACACAGAGGCAACTATTGGCAGATGTGGGTCACTGGGGCCAACAATGTAACAGTGGTCACATTGGTAATCTTCTTAAACACTGGCATCACCAACTCTAAAAGTTGCTATATCTTCTGTACCTTACTTTTCTTATGACCAGGTTTTCACTTTTTTCCTGTTTGTTTTTCCACTTTCTCCTACCATTTCTCAGCTTTTCTGTGTTGTAACTGGCCTTCCCTAGCCAGCACAAATAGAGGATGCCTTTTCTTCAGATCAGTGAACTGACCAATCCCGTCTCATCAACTCTATTCTTCAGCTTGTCAGTCTTTGCAGCTGAAGTGTTCTATTGACAGAAGTTCCTTTGTTTTGGTGGTTGTTTCATTTTGCTCTGCTTTTCAAACTGGGTTCAAAGTTGGAAGTCTAATTTAAAGGAAATAAGGCAGTACTGCCTCAAGAAGCAACTTAAGTAAATAAATGTAAATGCTTTGCCCTTATAAATAAAATCTAGAATCTGTGATACCCCTTAGTTTTACCTGCAAGAAGGCAAGATGTCCAGTTCAATGGCCAGGCAACAAATCAACATTTATCATGTTTTACATGCTTTAAATTCCTTTAGCAGTCATTCACCAGGGCAGAGAAGGAAGAGAGGCCTGCAGGAATCAGATAATTTCCAGCATTACAATTCTAGTTCACAGCAGATTGCTTCTTACATGTGGCTAAAATGGGATCAGATTAAATTTCCATTGAATCATTCAGCCTGTCTGATCACTGCTTTCTGCTGTCAGGAAAGATCCAAGGGTACCAAGAATTAGCCAGGGCCAGAAGAATTTGCTGTACAGATACCGCAAGCATGAAGAGTGCAAAGGAAGTGAGAGAAAAAAAACTTGAACACCCAAGGTGAAAATTCCTGGAAAGGGATCATGGGTTTCCATTTGAAATACTAAGGAATTAAAATGAAAGTTGAAATGTGAATTACCCTTGGAAATCCATTCACTGACATTGTTCATCATTATTTCTTTTATTCTGCTCCCTGAGGCCAGACGTTGGATCCTTAATTGTTGGATTACATCTCCACCAGATATTTAGGTGCAAAAATGAAAGGGAATTAAATTTCATTTGGCTATTTATACAATCTAAATTGCTCAAGTGAAGGAGGCAGCTAAGATAAAATGTCTTTGTTATCATTTTAGACTAATTCATTGACTCTAATCTTACTTCTGTTATATCGTCACAAACATCAAAAGTTGATTGAAAATGGGTATAAATTCATACATAAATGAATTACACGTAAACTCATTACAATCCTCATAATAATTTACACAAAATCCAATTAACATTCTATGAAAATTTTGGAGAATCTGACTAGATGCTGATGTTCTCAGGAAGAAAAAGCTGATGCTTATCAAAGAAATGTTTGAATGAAGAATACAGAATGGAACAAGCCACACTAGACATTTAAATATAAGGCAGAGCTGGAGGGAAACTTCCACAGTGGCACCTACCAGCACCAGTGTCCACATAGTTGGGGGAGCTCCCATAGTGGCTGCTGCCAGTGTCTGTGTCCCCAGCTGCCACCCACCTCTCCAGGAGACTCTTGAAGACAAGCAGGTATTTTTTATGAGAAACCTCTCTTATAACAGCTTTGGCTATATCCCATAAATTTTGGCATCAACAGGTCTCATGGTCTCTGCCTGCAGGACAGGTCCTAGATCTGATCTGTCTCTTCATCACCACCTCCAACGCTCCCCTCGACCAACCTTTACTACTCTCAGCCTCAGGTCACTGTCTTAGTCTCCCACACGAGCTCCACGCTTTACCCTTTTGTCCACATGTTAACCTCTGCCCTTTTACAGGTAAAATAAACTCTCTATGGTGTAAAAAAAAAAAAGCCTATGATGACTAAAATAAGATACTACTGAAGAAGAAAAAACATAAAGATATAGAACACAGACTAGATAGTCCAGAAATTGATTTTGTTCCTTACAAGAATTTGCTAGAAGATAAAATGACATCACCAAGAAGGAACTATTCGTTAATTCGTGCAGGAATAACTGGGAAGGAATTTAAGGGAAATAAAATTCATTTAGACCCATCTTTCATAGTGTATAACAAAATAAACCCCAGATACATTAAAAAGCATCCTTTTCCAAATGCCCAGTGTATTAGGTCTGTGAATTTCAAACCAAGAATGATTTCCTAAGCTTAAAATCCTTTTAAGAAATCATAAAACAAAGACCAACTGCTCAGATTACATATAATTTAAAACTCCTATTTGTTAAAAAAAAAAAAAGACTAGCACAAGCAATTTTTAAAAAAGCAGATTGAGAAAATGCATTATTTTACTACTACAGCAAAGGAGAATTTTTTCACATTTATTATTTGTTGATGAATTTTTTTCTACCCATGGCTTTTGCTCAGGGCAACAGAATTAATCTTTCAAAAACCGTGTTTCCTTATGACATTTCCTTGTTTCAGGAGTACAGCAATTCTCTGCCGTTTACCACTCTCTAATACCAGTCATTTCAAAACAACCTTCATATACTCACCATATCCATATACCATTTGTACCCAACATCTATTTAATAATTTTCTTTAAATAAACTCAGTTTTACTTAAATGAATTTAGCTTTGTTCTAACCAATAGTTTCTATGAAATCAGAAGTTTCAGGTAAATGACATTAATATGTATAATACAAATTTTAAGACATGAATCTGTCTACCACTGAAAATTACTTATGCAGACTACAACAATTAATTTTAACATGTTAATGTGGCTAGGTTATGGTGCCCCACTGTTTAGTCAAACACCAGTCAATGTCACAGTTATGGTGCGTTTTTTTTTAAAGATGTGATTACCATTTAAATCAGTAGACTTTGAGTAAAGCTGATGAATTTCCATAATGTGTGGGGCCTCATCCAGTCAGTTGAAGGACCTCAGAGAAAAGACTGAAGTCCTCCAAAAAGGAAAGAATTCAGCGTACAGACTGCCTTCCACTTCAAGACCTCCACACCAAGACCTGCTGGAATTCCAGCCTGCTGGCCTGCGCTACAGATGCTGAACTTGCCAGCTTCCAAAATCACATGAGCTAATCCTTTAAAATAAATCCTCGCCCCCCTTTCTGTCTCTGTGTGTGTGTGTGTGTGTGTGTACACTCTATGCTATGGTTCTGTTTCTCTGGAGAACCTTAACCATTCTTTGGGAACACTGACTTTACAGAACTCATTCAAATGTCTTCGCCTGGATGCCAATGTCCACCTAAATCTGGCTTCTCCTGATTATTCTAAATTCATTTCATGAGACTTTTCAGTGCACACTCTGCTTTACTCCATCTGGTCACTTCACACCTTTGTTTGCAATATGCTGAGAAGGTCTTGGTTAGCCAGGCCTCCCCAGTTACTACCTTCAAGGCCTGGATAAATTACTAGATGAGGTGCTAAGGAAGAAATAAGATTCCCACATTTAGACATATGTAAAACCAGCTTTGGAAAGTAAGGTTTCAGCTCATATGCCAAACATGGCTAATTAGTGGTAGCTTCTTGGAATATGTTAAGAAGGATTCTGACGCTCTCTGAAAGAACACCATGATCTATTAGTGATATCTGACAGAAGGGTGAAAAGGGGTCAAAACGGTAATAAATGTAGTACATATTTGTCACCTCTGGCTTGATTATTAAGGAAACTAGCCAAAAATATGTTCCTGAACCCTTTCCAATGCCTACTCAAACAAGGTATCAGACCTATGAACTTCTTTAAAAACTACTTTACATTTTAGGCATTTCTCAGATTTACATATATAGGGAAAGTCAATCAAGAGCATTCAAAGGTAGAAAGAGTATAGAAAGCAAGCTACATTTGCTTCCCCAAACCTGCTTTTTCACATAATACCAAATGTCAAACCAGAATCTACCTGCTGGGATGAGTGAGCGGGGAATACAAGTATCCCCAGCATTCCTACTTAGCTATTCCTGGGCCGAGCTGCCCAGCACCTGACACTGGGACATCCTTATAAATACTTGGGGAAATCACCAGGTATGAAAATTCTCTTGGGGCAGAAAAGTTGCATTGGTCCTTCCCTTTAATCCCTGCCTTCCCACCCCTGAACTGCTAGAACGAGACAAGCAGCAACCCTTCGCGGGACACCGAGATCAGAGTTTGCCCTACTGACACAGATTTTCCTGAAAATCAACCCAAAATTGTCCTGATAGGAAATCTCCCTATGCCTACTTTTCAATGGTTCCCATATTCTTTAAGATAGGGAGTAACAGAGGGCATGAGTATTTACACAGATGGACTAGTCTACTTTCATTCATTCTGAACTTGACCACTTCTTTCCAGCAAGACAATGTGATAGGCACTGAAGGGACAAAGAGAAATCATATTTGGTCTGTGCTTTCAAGGAGCTCTTAGCTTAACTGATGGTCAAAGAATATACAAACACATACCTTAGACCAGGCTTGGCAAATTTTTTTATTTTTATAAAAGAACAGATAGCAAATGTTTTCAGTTCTGCAAGCCATACATTACTTAACTCTGCTGTTGCAGCACAAAAGCAGCACAGACAGTGCTTAAATAGATGGGTATGGCTATGTTCCAGTAAAAATTCACTTATAGCAAAAGTCTATTAGTCAGATTTGGCCTATAGTTTGCTGATCCCTGACTTAGACTCTATTAGATGAATCAGGACCTGAGATGAGCATCTCTCAGAAGAAGGGATTAAAAAAAAAATGCGTTGATCAGTCTTTAGTTAGTGTGGTCACTTGAGTAATCAGAATCTTATTTCTTGGTGGTGATTTTTTAATTTCCTAAAACTCCCAGTAAGATCTATGGCGTCTCCTATGAATATGTGAGGAAATAAAGCAGTTACATTGAATAACAGAATGGCTTTATTTTAAAATATTTTTAATATAAGATTTTCCATAGTCATAATTCATTCCATGAGGAACAATTGCTAAATATGAAAATGATGTTGTAGAAATCTACAGGGCAGAGTGGAGAAAGTCCTAGAGGGAAATAAGAAAAGTCTCATAGAATATGTTCAGAGGAAATGTGCCCCTGTCAGGCATAGAGTTCTTAATTTTTCGAATCATCATGGAACATTCTGAAAAAAACCACCCTTACCCCAAAAATCTCAACAAAGGCTTCCTTTCTTATTCATGTCCCCTCCAGGAACTAGAAATTTATTGAGCAGTGGGGCACATAAAGAAGTCTGGAAAATCTGATGGAAGATCAGAAAGTACTATTTTACTATCAGGGACACGGATGTTCCAATGAAATCCTGGCCTTACAAAAAGAACTTGTTTCTGAAAAGCTGATAGGAGAAGTTCATTGAAACGCAAAGGCTTCAGGTAGATAGTGCCGCTGGCTCAGCTTGTATGACAGAGCAACTTATCTCCCAAGTTCATTGCACCGTCCCTCATGGTATCATTAAACTTCAGTGTCCGAGAGGTTACAGAGAAAAGTACTCTCTGTTTTATTGTGAAACCAAAGTCCAGACAGATTTGGCTACAGTGAGTAACACAATCATTGCCAGCATTCACAAAACGACTTACTTTCTAGCGGTGACAATGGAAGTAAAACTGAGGGCCTGGCCATACGGCAAACTTCACTTCCACATCACCAATGCCCCTGCTCTGTCCCCAACAAATATACTTCCTTTATATTTGAATTGCCATCAAAATATCCCAAAGACAACAGTTGATAAATATTGATATATCTCTTATCCCCAATTCATTATTTACACTTTCAAAGAGGACTCTTGAAGACCAAAGGGTCTTTAAGATCCCAGCAACGACTCTGTAATGGTAAAACTTCCAGCATTACGAGTGACAAAATAACTTTATTGGAAATGGGAATAAAGGTCTTTTGAAATTAACTGTTTGTTTCTCAAACACTTAAGAGACAGTCTTTGTTGATTAAGGCAGTAGTGGACAGCCAGCTGTCCACTCATCACATCAAACATGTTTTTCACAATTTTAACACAAATCGTTGTGTCACGATAAGCTAGCCAATGAATGTGATTAACCAAGTTTCTTTCTAAGTGTGTTTACATAATGCCTCACTCTCAAGAACCTGAAATAAAACAAGAAGCAGACATCTCTTGGTCACCCTCTCTATTCACTGTGTAGAGCCAGATTCTAAGAACACAAAGAAATACAAGATATGCTTCCTGTCCTGAAGAAGTCTACATGGTCAAAATAAAAATAAATAGTAAAGTAGATCATCATTTGTATAAATCCCCACAAAAATGTAGTAATACTCACCAAAACTGCTGTTTTTTTACTGGTTTCCCACTGCATTTAAAATAAAGACAGAACTTTAAAAGGCCTATGAAAAGCCATATGCTCAAGGTGACAGCCTTTTCTCTGGCCATCAGTCCACTTGCTGCCTCTGCTCTAGACATGCCATCCATCCTTCAGTCCCTTATTCTTACCATTCTCCCTCCCTTACCCCAGGGCCAGCCTCTTCCAGGCTCAGGCTTTTTCCTGAGCCTGGAAGATGGAAGACCTTTCTCCCCAGGTAAGTCCTTTCACTATCAGCACTCAGATCAGCTGTTACCCTCCACTGTCCATTATATGCTTTCATTGCCCCCATATGCCTATCCTCATATTTTTCGTTGTAGAAAATCTTTTATCCATTATATAATTATTTAATTTATATATTTCTCTCTACTAAAAGTACCATGAAGGCAAAGATCATGTCTGTTTTTTGTTTATCACTGAATCACGAATGCTTAGTATAGAAGAGTGGTTCAATAGATATTTGTCTGAATAAGTGAATGAATACCTGGACTTCTTGAATAAATTTGTATCTTTTTATTTGATAATAATCATTTCATATATAGTTATTAAAAGTCTAAAGTTCACTCAGCAAATATTTATAAAATCCCTACAATGTACTCAGCACTCTGCTAGGCACTGTAATACAAAGATGACGACATTGTCCATGCTGTCTACTGAGGCAGGCAAGGAAACAGATAATCACAGCACAACATGCAGTATAGATCAGGGAAATCCAAAGTGCTATGAGAACACAGGCAAGAATTAACTCTTAGGGAAGCTGAAGAAGACGTCTAAGGAAGTGACACTTGAGTTCTTGAAGAAGAAAAAAAAGTGCAAAATAGTGAAAGAAGGCATTCCATGCAGAAAATGAAATGGGAAAAAGGTCAAAAAGTTTGAAGAGCTCTGGGTAGGCACGGAAGAGCAAACAGTTTGGTACCACTGTGACTGAGAGTGTATGGAAAGACTTCAAATGGGAATTGTAGCCTGAGGTGAAGTGATGAGAATATGCTAAATCTGAGGTAGGAACCACACACCCACTTGGGACTGAATGGTTATTAGTGGGAGGTACAGAACAAAGGTTGGAGAAGTGCTGAGAAAGAGATACCTTCCTAGGAATGTAGGGGGACATTTGGGAATCATGGATTCCCCGTCTCTGACCACATCTTCAAAATCATACTTCCTAGGGCAGTGTTTCCCGTACTTCCCTAATAACAACAATCACGTGGCTGTTAAAATACATATTCCAAGGATATATTCCCAAACCCCTCCGAATCAGCATTCCCAACAGACAAACCTGGAATTCTGAATATTTAACCAACCCTCCAGGTATTTCTAATTTCAGGGAAGCTTGAGAGCCATTTTCAAAAGGAACTCCTACTCTACCTTCAGGAAGGCTCACCAGACTTTTCCCCAGCACTGTCCACTGACCTGTAAAGAATGTGGCTGTCCAAGAAAATATCAACTTCAATTAGTAATTAAGATAATGATTCTTGTTTCCAATAAAGCAATAAAATATGACTGTGCTAGCACAGGAAAAATTGCAGTCAGCATATCATTGGTAGAACTGCACACGCTACTGGAGGAAATTTTCAGCCAATTATGCTCAAAAGATAAACTAGACTCTGTGTAAAAGGAAGAAAGTCCATGAACTTCTTCCATTAGCACAGGGGTTGATTTCTCAGGTCTGCAAATCCATTTGCTTCTCCCCAAGTGACTACAATTATGAACTGTAGACAGATTTCTAAAAATGTCAGAAATTGTACTTGGTAGACCAAATAGACATATCTAAATGCAGATCCCAGGAAATGCTGGGCATTGCTTTAAAATATCTAAATTTCACAGATACTATGTCCAGTCACAAAATGATCCATGGGATTTTCCAGGGTTTCTTGCCCTTTAGTCTAGAGTGGAATTTCTCAAACAGTGTTTACAGTGGGTGATAGTAAGAATTATTTATATTAAAAAAAGGAAGGTCATGTTCAGAACCCATGTATATATGGACATTTGATTTATTAAAAAAATGAAACTATTAGAAGTGAGAAAAGAATGGCCATTACAACAAATAGTGCTAGAATAACTGGATATCCACAATGGAGAAAATTATGTTGAATCAAAGACATTAGATAAAAAGTAACTCACATTGTGGCTTTGATATCTCATAGTACAAAACAGTGCTTCTCAAAGTGTGCCCCCTGGATCATGAAAATGCTTCAATCTCTTTTAAAACCTAAAGAAAAAATAAATATAATCCAACCTGGATGATATTGATATTTATATCAATGCAATTGTAAAATACAATTTTTAATATTTTTTATGGAGGAAGGGGCCCAGGAGAGGCCAAAATGCTTAAGGCACACAGAAGTCCTCATGCAGCCCTATTCACCAACATTTACGCATTCTCTCTCTGAAATTTCCTTCCTCTTCCATCATCCATCTTACCCTTCACGACTCAATTTATGAATCATTGCCTTGGGGAAATTTTCCTCGAAGAAATTTTCCTCTTCAATCTTACCTCTACTCCATCCCCACCACATGCTCACACCTAGCTTGGTCTATGTGCTCCCTATGAGCACAGCTCCATCACTCCATCTCCACGCTGTTATACAATGCCACATTTCTATGGAGTCACTCAGAGACCAGACCAAATATCAGGTATCACTGTGATGCAGACACTACTGATGCTCCACTCAGATCCAGTTTGTCACTGTAGTGCACTCATTCCCCAGATGTCATGGGTGCATGGCTCACACTCCACGTCTCCCAGAGGATCTGTCCTTGCCTGCCAAGACTGTCTGGAGGTGCCTGGGAGTCCACATGAGCCTCTACCCATCCCCACCTCCATGGGTGGTCCATAGCCAACCAGTGACTGACAGCAGGGGTACAGCAGCCCAGGGCTCTTGCTGACGAGGAGAATAACTTGTATGGTACCATTCATTCTCCAGAGTGGCCCATGAAATCACATCATTGCCTAGCTTCTCCCCTGCACTGTTCTGTTTCCCTACCAACTTAACAGCATTCCCTCAGGACTGTATGGCCTGCTAGGAATCCCCATCTCAGTCTCTGTTCCTAGGGAGCACGACCTAAGGCACTTTGAATCGCCATGACTAGCATTAACGAACTGGCAAAAACGGTCCAATAAATGGACATAGTGAATGAATGAACAAATGAAGGAGTAAATGTTAGAGGGACATGGAAGCAAGTATCAAAGACCTACCCAGGCCTTTACAAGGGCTGAATTGATAACAAAAGAACTTCAGTCCTTACTAAACTAAATGGCTTGAGCACAGGGAGAAAAGATTGGGACATAGGTTCTAGAACAATGGCATAGACAGGTTTGCTCACAAAAACAGGAGAAGAGTCTCTAACAGTTAGATGTGAAGAACAATGCCTGCTGTGTGCCTAGGAAGTCACTTTCACATATACCAACAGACTAAGATGACATTAAAAGCCATCAAAACTGATAGTGCTTTCCTTAAATTCTCTTGGACATGATTGGCCCCAGAGCTGGGGACCAGATGAGTTCGCAAGTGTGGATTATGAGGTTCGTTCTGAAGAATTTTTGTGAGCGATGACCTGGTGATGACAGGCTGCCTTTGAAGACCTGATGCCTTGCGATAGGACCACAGTACCCCAGTCATCCTAAAAGTGTGGTCCTCTGGAGCCAGTGTTTGACAGGTTGGAAATATGAGAGATTTCATGGCATGGAATTTCTATCATAGATATGGTTCTTTGTAATTTAAGCAGATCCTCTCAACCTCTGCAGCAGTTTTGGAGCTGAGCAGATGGCAGGGGAAGTCTTGACTAAGTGGTGAAGTTTCAGCTGCAAAAGGCAATTCCTAGAATGACAATTCAGAAACTCATTTCCCCCAACACTTTTCATATTGGCAGAGGGCTCATGAATCTTTTTAGGAAAACGAGAAGGAAGCAGTGCATCCGAATAAGGCGTCCTATGTTTGGCTAGGTTATGTGGAAGCAAACACTACTGAATCCAATTCTTCCCTTGTGTTTGCTATTCGCAAGGCAAAAGGCCAGACTTGTTTGTAAATTAGATAATACCCAAAAAGCTAAAACCTAGGGTCTGCAACGTAACAGACCTCCAGCACACAAAGCAACTACTAAATGCATTCTAAGTTGCTCCAACCCTGGCTAGCATTACAGACCCCTGTAGTTTCCAGCTATGTCTTATAAAGGAAAGTGAGGCTGTAGAAAGAGCATAATCTGGCCTCAAATCCTGACTCTGATACTAAATAACTATATGATATTGAACGAATTACTTTTCCTTTCCGAGCTATTTCCACAAATGTAAAATGGGGGAGGACGTGCGGGAGAGGATAATAGCAATCTCAGAGGATTACTGTAAGAATTCAGTGTGAGCACGTATATGAAAGTAACTGGCAGACAGTAGACTTTAAACTGTATCAGTTTTTCTGCATTTCTGCCCTACCTATCTTGGCAGAAATGTATGTCCAAATAGCTGTTGTTCTTTCAAATTATTTCAGCTGCAGCTCATCTATAATTTTTTCCTTTATCTTCAAACAATTTTAATATTAAAGTGTTTTTGCCTTGAAATTCCAAAGCCCTTATTCCCTGTGAATGAGGCAGTGAGGTTCAGCTTTTGGGATTTTTGTTTTGATCTTTTACAATGTGCATGTAATAGAAACTGTAAATGTATTCAATATTCTGAAGCTATAAATGTATACTGTCTTTTAATGAGGAGTGTTTGTTTTAATTCAGTTTAAATTACTCAAATGCAACAAAAGCGTTACCAACCGAAATTATTTCTGTGGCAAATAACAGAAAAGCTATTCAATTGGCTTTAAAAATTCAGGGAATTTACTGACTCTTGTAACCGAAAAGTCCATAGGACTTTTCCTGGCTTGGTCCCAGGCATGGTTTGGTCCAGGCTTTGGCTCAGTTTTTCTGCAGTTCTCTCAGTTTTGTCTGTCTTCAAATGTTGCCTTTTTTTTCTTGAGCTAGCCTCATAAAATGACTGCCAGCAGCATTCATGGTGGTTCCGTGTTCACATCCAAGGGCAGAACAAAGGCCAAGGGCAGTTTTCAAAATATCACCATACAAAAGTCCAAAGCTTCACTCTTATTGGACTGCCCTAATACAACCTCTGTAGGACCGAAAATGCTGTGCTCTGATTGACTTAAACCTGTACCAATCACTACGACAAGCAAATGGGGTTATTCTGACAGCTTAGATCAAGCAGGGTCCTCCTCTGGATCTGAAGGTAAGTTCGTCCCTCCTAAACTTCATGGTTGTCATTCAAGGAAGCTGAAATGGATGTTACAGGGATAGTTTTAATGTCTGCTACAATTAAAAATAAATTTGAGCAATTCAGTACAGTCTTCCATTTAAATGCCTATTTTCCTCTGTGAAATTATCACTTACTTCATTACACTGAACTCTTTTCAAATAAAGTATCATATTTCAGCATCCAAGGGCAACGTTAGCCTGAGAGTCAGCTAATACAAAGAAAGACATCAGCAGGAATTTTCGGACATCCAGGTGAGGGGTCTTGTTTCTTGATTTTTCTTTCTCTTCAACTTTCCCTTATTTTTGTTTCCCTCTATTTTCTCACTAATTTTTTTCTTTTTCTCACTTCTTCCTCCCATCCATATTCATTTTCTCTTTTCTTAATATGTCTTTTATAACACAAATGTAACAGGATATGAGATTAGACATTTCCTGATGTCTAACCAGGAAATTTTAGCTAAAACCTCAAAGCTGTTGAAACAGATGACAGTGTCCTTCTAGGGACATGTCCTCTCAGAAATTATTAAAAGGAGGCCAGACTTATCCATTGCTTACCTCCCCAGCAGCATCTGAAAGAGAAAACTGAGATTCATTAGAAAGAAGTTCTTCAACGGTAAATT